TGCCGCCCCACTGGAGCCCCAGCGCTCGCTAGCTGCCGATCGGTGCCCGTTAATTTATACGTATCTTTTCAAAACAACTTTAAGATTAAGAAATATTAAACAAAACACATAAATCGAAACTAAACATATTCTCTATTTTGTGTTTTCTCTTTTATGCTTGATTTAAAAACTTAAAGATATTGACTTATAATATACTTGATTGAAAACTAACGAAGCGACAGGCGAAAAAAATTTCTTACACCAGGGGTCGGCAACAACAGGACGGATTTGGAAATTCTAAAATGTTGTGGATCCCTAAAAATGTTATCTCATAAGAACTTCTTGCCGACTCCCGGCTTATACCTACATTTTAAATGTAATGGCTTTTGTATGCTGTGAAATGTAAACGGTAATTAAATGTGAAAAGAACGCACAAATCGTCCTCAATAGGCATCCTGTACTGTCTTCGGCGTCGGGGCAGCAGAATACGATCAGCAGGATCGTCCATTAGTTTCCGAAACCAATATTCTACCTGATTATATAAACAAAATTATTATAAATACATGCGTGATAAAGTTATAAAAATGTAAAAATAAATTAACCCGTTTGAAAAGGGTTTGGTTTCCCGCAATTTTGCTTGTGAAATTTTTTACCATGAACAAAGATATCGAATATAGTGTTGCCTTATAAAAATACCACTTTAGTACATAAGTAGTGACAGGAAATATTTAAAATAAATCAATTTTCAGATAATTACGATAAAGATCGACAGATAAGTTACCTCTGGTAACATCCAGCATTCTGTTAAATCAGAATTTTCACATCCTTGACCGCTATAACCACGTCCAGATATTTTGTCATTTGTGATCTTGTAACAATTTTCTCTAAAAACAAAAAACCATGTCACGGTCGAACCTAAACCTATAGTGCGTAACAGCGAGTTTTCATTGCTGAATAATCTGTACAAAAATATACCGTTGTCGCTATTTTCGCAAAGAGAATTAGACTAACAATTTCCTGGTGTTTCAGCAATGCAAGGGCACATTGATACGAAGCAAATGAACTTAATGTATTAACCTGACTTCGTCATAATAGAAGTTTCCGTAATATTGCGCCAACCTCGACTCTGGTATTACATCTTTTACGCTTCTTCGGGAACAGTTTCCATTTTCAGGACTCGGAGTAGTATGTGACTCTAAAATCATAGAAATAATCAATTCGTGGATAGTTATAGTCAAAATTTGTTTTAATTTCATTTCTAACCTGTAAGTTCGCATTGATTATGTTGTAAAACCTGTGACGATTCTACTGCTGTATCTTGTAGAACTTGTGAAACGCGACAATGTTGTGCCCAAAGGCGCTGTAATCATTTCATCATTATTTACTACTAGGATAGTACACCTCTCGCGATAGAGTTACATTCATACATCGTCGTACAAGATGCCCGTCGTTTGATACCAATCTGTAAGCCTTCTTTTACATAAATTCGCCAAGATGATTGTAGCGATTGTAGCATTCATAAAGTTCTCCTATTCGAATTTTATTTTTTATCTTCCTGTTCTAGCTAAATTAATAATTTAATATAAAGTACTGAAATACGCTAAACTTCACTAAATTATGAAAAAAGTTGTTAAAAAGATAGAACAGCTATATTTCTCCCATCAGCTGAAGTAATGCTGACCTGGTTTGCTATGATAAAGTCATCGGGGGGCTCCGTGGCCCATGTGAGATCCGCACAAAGGGCGATATGTGCCCAAGCAGATGAGTAGCGATCCACCTCGAAGTTCATTCAATGTGACATCTCACTCATACAATTAATTATCTTTAGAATAAGAAACGAACTAATATAATAGTCACTAAATTTTAAGAGAAAAACTAACGGTAAAATTGTAAATATAAATAACGACAATTTGAAAGACATTAGTGGTTAAATCTACAATAACAAAATTTTCCTCTTTTTTGATAGGTACATGATGTACATTTTTTTCTTAAAATTTAAATCTCTTTTCGAATTTCATGCCAACTGAACAAAATAAATGTCATCACGATGGTTCAGTCGAATTCCCAATACAGAACTGTTTTATTTTAAGTTAGAAATGAAAAGAAGAGATTTCCAATGCACTTCAATTCAAACTTTTAATAAATTAGAATAACATAGTTATAAATTTATGTTTTAGGTCAGTGTCTTAAGTGATCATTACGATGTTAAGTTCACGCTCAATTCACGCCTTTAACATTCGTTTTCATAAACTAAGTTGAATGTGCTTGCTTGAATTAGAAGTCTTATAAATGAAAGCAATTATATCCCACCAGTAGTTCTTAATTCCAGTCTACAGTGACTGTAGACCATCAATCTATTTCAAGATTTAGATTTTATTTTGAATTCATTGTTTTACGGTGAATTCATTACTACCGATTTCCGATCTCATCGGCTACTAAATTCTACCAAATTGTTCACTCTTCCTCTTCGCACTTAATTACAATTTAAAAAAAAATAATCACTTATTATTTATACATTTATTTACATACAGGTGTGGTGTTACTCTATTTAGAACTATAGATTTCTTAGTCAAATGAGCTATAAATAGGTTCTTAGTTCTCAAAGATTCTAAAATATTACGCGCGAAGTCAACGTAGTCACATTGGGCCTGTTGACTAATGCCTAAGGCCTAACTAGTCACCGTAACAAAGGTTAGTCTCCGAGCATTTTCGTAGGAACGTCAAGTGATCTGATGTCGCTGAGGTTCCAAGTCATCTAGCAGTAAAAATTTAAATTACAAACTGGCAACACCACCAACTTAACAACGGGCGGCAAGCTGTCAAGTTACAGAAATGTCAAAAGTTACGACGATTTCACAGTGGTTCAAAGTCGGCGCTTCTCTCAGTGCACACCGCACTCACCATTTTCATAAAAATCAAAACGGCAGTTTCGTCTCGCAGTTATTTGCGCAGGTGGTGCTCTTCTGCACTTCTCTTTTGTTTTGATACGCATGCGCGCCGTTGGCATTTTAGTGAAATACATTGACAGTTGTAATGATTTCATTAATCGTTAAAAAAAAAATAAAAAATAATCCCGAATTTTTAAAATAACTTAAGCTTTTTTAAAGAAAAAAAAAGTGTTTTAAGTGTAAGATCCGATGAACGTTTGATTGATAAATTGGAATGAAATTATTAAAAAATCGATCTAAAACGAATTATTCGCTTTCTTTTAACGATATCTTTTTGTTGTTAATTTTGCAACAAGTGTGTACAGCGTAACTGTTGGTGCGTTGGGAACTGGTTTTGTGGGGACCGTTTGGTTTTTTGTGCTGTATTTATGTATATTTGTTTGTGTGGTATAGTTTATTTCGCAAGTGACTGTGCGCGATAAGTGTGATGCTCTGGTGGGGTGCTGGTGTCTTCAAGTGACGACATTACGACTCATGGTAAAGTATTTACAGCTATGTCTTAGAAATAGTCAAAACAAGTTTGTGTGAACGAGATTTGTCCATTGTCCTATGAAAACCTATATGTTATATTCTTATTAGTTAAATATTTGTCTATAATACATTCTAATGAAGTAAACATCTTTTAAAATCATTAGTTAATAAACATTAAATGTGTGATTTTATGTCATATACTAAGTAGTGGTTACAAGTTTGTTACATGAACCTGTATCTATAACTCTTTGGCTAAAATTTCACAGAAAAACATTCAAAAAAAATGAAAGTCCATTTGCTTAGAAAGCTAATGATATAAGATCTAATTAGGCAATTTCAATTGTTTCCTTAACATTGAATGATTAACTAATTATCTTCTGTAATTTACTCAGAAATACTTATTAAATACAAAATAATTTACTGTTTCCTGCAAATTGTTATGAAAATGTACTAAACTTGAGCACAGATAGTATTTTTTTTAAATGATTTTGTGATGGTACTAACTAGCTGTTACCTGGAACTTTGTTCGCACAGATAAAAGGAAATGTTTTGTAGCCAATGTGTTCTTCCAGACTGCTTTACATCTGTGCCAAATTTCATGAAGATCTATTCAGCGGTTTATGAGCTACCTTCTAATAAACATGTACCAAATTAAAAAAACAAGCTATTGCATTTATATTAGTAAGAAGTAAATTAAATAAGGTCTTTTGGATTGCTTAAGTCCTGCTGATACTAGACAGGCTTTTTAATAAAAACCTAAAATATATTAAACTGATATTTAAAAAGGGAAAAGCAATCTATTGTAATTAAACTTAAGTTAGTCTTAAGTCTGAAAGAGGTCAGTCATTTTTATTGAGCTAAATAGGAAATTTAGAAAGCCCATAATGGTTTATATGTTCTGTAAATCTCACCACCTTTAGATGTTCAATGACTGATTTTTTATTAATGCCATTCATGGTGATAACGGCAGATCCAGGGGTGGGAGGTCATGGGGGTCATGACCCCCTCTGGGCTGATTGGTCAAGAGCTTGACAAAATATATTTACATATTCCGACTCTTGACTTGACCAAGACTTTGTGACCTCTCCTCTTGGTGACAAAGATGGATCCTTACTTGCATGGTGAAGATATAAAGATAAAATCCTGCAGCCAGCTACACATTTTCAGTTTTAATTGTATAGTCCAACTGTCAATACTGATAACTGAATAGTTAAATTGACAGTTAAAACTTTGCCAACATACAAATTTACTGTACAGTTTGCTTGTCCAGTTGAAGCTGAGGATGTGTAATAGGGTTTATCTATCTCTGTTACAGCAAAATCACAACAATCATTTCTAGAAGTAACAACTATCTTTTGTTTTTTATCTACTTCCCAAAAGAAGGAGGTACTCAATTTGTCTGTATGTTTTTTATTTCATCTTTCAATTGAAACAAAAGATTAGGCTAAAATTCCACATGTATGGTCTACTAGCATTTGCCCGTGACTCATCCGACGTCGAATTAAAATAAACTGAGTAGCCTACGTGTTCTTCCACACTATACTCTACGTCTATGCCAAATTTCATCGAAATCCGTTCAGCCGTTTAGGCTATAACCTCTAACAAACTCTATCCTTCCTTACAAACTTCCGTATTTATAATATTAGTATGAAGTATAGTATGATATCTATAACAAATTTCATCGAGATCTGTTCAGGTATTTAGACTACAAATTATAACAATATCCATCCATCCAAAATTTCGCATTAATATTATTAGTAAGAAGTAGGATTAGTAAGATATATGTAGACTCGATAAAATATAAGATTTTCGTACTTGTTAGCATACGAAAAATTCAAAATATCGGTGAAACTTACAAATTTCTATGCTCGTACCAGCAGGGTTGTCGAAAGTCCCGAAACAATATTAATAAAGCGCCCAAGTGGAGGCCTTGACCTGAATTTCATACAACCGCTCCGTGCGGAATACGGCGAAGAATTCGCGTAGACAACAGTTTTTCTTTTGTTTTATAAAGTTTTGAACTAGAGACAGTTGTGGTGGTTTGACGAGGTAACCGTCATCCTAATCGTGAAAAACCTTTTCACCTCTTTGATTTTCAAAGAAAAACTAGATTATTTTCCAAACCAGGGCGGAAATGACGTCATTGACTACAGAGGGTAAATTGTCTATAAGTATAAGCATATGCAGATTACATAGTGGGTAACTAGCATAAACGGTTATACCCATGGGCGTCGCCAGAGGGCGTAAGGGGGAGAGAGCTGACCCTGTCACCTGTCCGTAGGGAACCGAAAAATTCAAAAAGATAAATACTACTTCGAATAAGACTTTGTTAATGGTATCTACCCCCCTAGGTCTAGCTCTAGCCTAGACAGAACCTTACATGATTCTTCTATATGTATGCCTCCCCAGTGTACAGTGTGGTCTGGTTTCTTGTTTTATTAAATAATTGTCATATTAATATATTCTACTGAAAGCTTTTATAGACAATCGGAAATTTAACTTATGTATATGTACAATATGATGACGTAAGTTGGTCCCCGTATTCCAGCCCGGCCGACCTTGGCCCAGTTGGATGCCCTAGTCAATATCCTTCGTGTCCGGGTTATGTATGAAATACTTTTATAATACTCTCCGAGGATTCCCGTAAGAATCATTCATGCGAAAATACTATCGATTTTTCTTATATCCGGGGAGAATATTGTCTATGGTTATTTTACGTGATACTTCAATACGTTACGAATACGGAAACAGACTGAACTGTTTACATAAAAGAGAAAATACGTGAATGTTGGCTTTGACAGATGGATGTCTCCAACAATATAGTATTCACTTAAACTTTCTAAATAATACATATTTTATATAATAAGTAGTTAATGTAATTCTTAAACAGATCCGAGTCCTGATATTAATATATTAAGGGACTGCCCCACCACTGGCTGATAGTTCAGATAGCTTAAAAATCCGATATTTCCATCACATATTTCACACGTTGGATTATCAGACAATTTACAATTTGGTGGCACTGGCCCTTAATATTAGAAGTCGGATAAGAAAGGCAGTAAATGGAATCCATAAATAAAACAAAAGATATTATAAATTAAATAAATAAATTATTCATCGCTTTGTATATTAAATTCGAGGTAATTACAAAAATTACTGGCCGGTTGCCGCCGACCGTGCCGGTTACTTGCTCTA